GTGTTCTAAAAATAGAATACACCAAATTTATAACAGGTAAGGAAAGGTGAGTGAGTGAGTGAGTTTAGTTTTATGCCGCACTCAGCAATATCCCAGCTATATTGTCGCAGTCTGTAAATAATTGAGTCTTGACCAGATAATCCAGTGATCAACAGCATGAGCATCGATCTGCGCAATTGGGAACCGATGACATGTGTCAACCAAGTCAGCGAGCCTGACCACCCGATCCCGTTAGTCGCCTCTTACAAGCATAGTCGCCTTTCATGGCAAGCATGGGTTGCTGAAGACCTATTCTACCCCGGATCTTCACGGGTCAGGTAAGCAATGGCCACTCATACGGATATAAGAAAATATTTAACACAGATCTCAACGTTTGCATAAGAAGGATTTAAGTTGGGGAACAAAATAAGTGGTTTTAGAATCTTAAAACAAGAACAAGGAAAAACAAATATTCAAGCGTATATACATAGTTTTGTTTTCCCGCAGAAGTATGAATGATTAACACAAAATTGGTAACCATTCCAACAATAGGTATATCTACACAGTAGGGGCACCATGACATGCATCAACCAAGTCCGCAATCCTGATCACTCGATCCCGTTAACCGCATGGTAGGACAAACATTAGCGGGTTACCGTTACGAATATGGAGAAACATGCACATACTTGCTGTTGTTAGGAGATATCTGTGAACTGAACAGATGAAATACACGCTTCTCTTCAATATGAAACTACACTATCGAAATGTTTATGACTAACACGATAGTGCAAACGACATTGTAAGAATATGTATGGTCTTACACGGACCTGTTTCCTCTGCGTCGATAATATTCTTGAGTTGGCTGACAAATTCGAAAAACGAAACAAGGAAATATCTCTATTCAGGGCACACTAGCAACAAACATATACTGAGGGAAACAAATAAGGGAACGCGGTTCAAAACAGTGTTCCTTTGAGAGAGAGAGAGAGAGAGAGAGAGAGAGAGAGAGAGAGAGAGAGAGAGAGAGAGAGAGAGAGAGAGAGAGAGAGAGAGAGAGAGAGAGAGAGAGAGAGAGAGAGAGAGAGAGAGAGAGAGAGACAGACAGAGAGATTATTATTTCGTAATAGACAGAGAGGTCACTCTGGAAATACACCGAGGCGACTTACGTGATCGAGCGATCACTGGACTGGCTGGTAAAGATTCTATTATTTACCGACCGCCGCCATATACATGAAGTTGGAATATTACTGAGTGCAGCGTTAAACAACCAGCCAACCAACCAACCAGCCAACCAACCAGCCAACCAGCCAACCGACCCACCAACCGATGAATTGGGCGAGTCTTTGGTTTCTTACCCAGGTGTGTTGCTGTATTGTAATTCATTCGGAGTAATTTGTATTGATATCTAAACTTAGCTAATTATAGAACATGGTTGTTAAAACTATTGTTTCCACTTAAACATAGACACGGAACACAGCACTTCTTATTCGGATAACGTGTGTCCGCTTGACATAGTTTCAGTCTGAGAAGTAAACGTTTTATCGTGGAGCGTTTGGTTGTGAAATGTTACATTTTCCTTCTCTCGGGTAGCGATGTCGGATTCGGTAATGCGTCGTGATGTGTTCTCGTAAGCAGTACTCGAGGCCGTTATCAGTAATCGTCGTTGGTATTACAAGGGAATGTTAATGTTTGTTAATGAATGTCGGTAATGCTGGTAATGTCGGTATGTTGGTAATGTCGGTATGTTGGTAATGTCGGTAACGTTGGTAATGTCGGTTCTGTTGGTAATGTCGGTAATGTTGGTAATGTCGGTAATGTTGGTAATGTCGGTAAAGCCGGTAATGTTGGTAATGTTGCTAAAGATGGTAATGTTGGTAATGTCGGTAAAGCCGGTAATGTTGGTAATGTCGGTAATGTCGGTAATGTCGCTAATGTGGGTAATGTGGGTAATGTTGGTAATGCTGGTAATGCTGGTAATGTTGGTAATGTTGGTAATGTTGGTAATGTTGGTAATGTCGGTAATGTTGGTAATGTCGGTAATGTTGGTAATGTTGGTAATGTCGGTAATGTCGGTAATGTTGGTAATGTCGGTAATGTTGGTAATGTCGGTAATGTTGGTAATGTCGGTAATGTTGGTAATGTCGGTAATGTTGGTAATGTCGGTAATGTCGGTAATGTCGGTAATGTCGGTAATGTTGGTAATGTCGGTAATGTCGGTAATGTTGGTAATGTTGGTAATGTCGGTAATGTTGGTAATGTCGGTAATGTCGGTAATGGTAATGTCGGTAATGTCGGTAATGTCGGTAATGTTCGGTAATGTCGGTAATGTCGGTAATGTTGGTAATGTCGGTAATGTTGGTAATGTCGGTCGGTAATGTTGGTAATGTCGGTAATGTTGGTAATGTCGGTAATGTCGGTAATGTTGGTAATGTTGGTAATGTCGGTAATGTTGGTAATGTCGGTAATGCTGGTAATGTTGGTAATGTTGGTAATGCTGGTAATGTTGGTAATGTTGGTAATGTCGGTAATGTTCGGTAATGTTGGTAATGTCGGTAATGTGTCGGTAATGTCGGTAATGTCGGTAATGTTGGTAATGTTGGTAATGTTGGTAATGTCGGTAATGTTGGTAATGTTGGTAATGTCGGTAATGTCGGTAATGTTGGTAATGTCGGTAATGTCGGTAATGTTGGTAATGTCGGTAATGTTGGTAATGTCGGTAAATGGTCGGTAATGTTGGTAATGTCGGTAATGTTGGTAATGTCGGTAATGTGGTAATGTTGGTAATGTCGGTAATGTCGGTAATGTTGGTAATGTCGGTAATGTCGGTAATGTTGGTAATGTTGGTAATGTTGGTAATGTCGGTAATGTTGGTAATGTTGGTAATGTCGGTAATGTTGGTAATGTTGGTAATGTCGGTAATGTTGGTAATGTTGGTAATGTCGGTAATGTTGGTAATGTCGGTAATGTCGGTAATGTTGGGTAATGTCGGTAATGTCGGTAATGTCGGTAATGTTGGTAATGTTGGTAATGTCGGTAATGTTGGTAATGTTGGTAATGTTGGTAATGTTGGTAATGTTGGTAATGTCGGTAATGTCGGTAATGTTGGTAATGTCGGTAATGTCGGTAATGTCGGTAATGTCGGTAATGTCGGTAATGTGGTAATGTCGGTAATGTCGGTAATGTTGGTAATGTTGGTAATGTCGGTAATGTCGGTAATGTTGGTAATGTCGGTAATGTCGGTAATGTCGGTAATGTTGGTAATGTTGGTAATGTCGGTAATGTTGGTAATGTTGGTAATGTCGGTAATGTTGGTAATGTTGGTAATGTTGGTAATGTCGGTAATGTCGGTAATGTTGGTAATGTTGGTAATGTCGGTAATGTCGGTAATGTCGGTAATGTCGGTAATGTTGGTAATGTCGGTAATGTTGGTAATGTTGGTAATGTGGTAATGTCGGTAATGTTGGTAATGTTGGTAATGTTGGTAATGTCGGTAATGTTGGTAATGTTGGTAATGTCGGTAATGTTGGTAATGTCGGTAATGTTAATGTAATGTCGGTAATGTTGGTAATGTTGGTAATGTTGGTAATGTAAGTCGGTAATGTTGGTAATGTTGGTAATGTCGGTAATGTTGGTAATGTCGGTAATGTTGGTAATGTCGGTAATGTCGGTAATGTCGGTAATGTTGGTAATGTCTGGTAATGTCGGTAATGTCGGTAATGTTGGTAATGTTGGTAATGTCGGTAATGTCGGTAATGTCGGTAATGTCGGTAATGTTGGTAATGTTGGTAATGTCGGTAATGTCGGTAATGTCGGTAATGTTGGTAATGTCGGTAATGTCGGTAATGTTGGTAATGTCGGTAATGTTGGTAATGTTCGGTAATGTTGGTAATGTCGGTAATGTCGGTAATGTTGGTAATGTCGGTAATGTTGGTAATGTTGGTAATGTTGGTAATGTCGGTAATGTTGGTAATGTCGGTAATGTCGGTAATGTCGGTAATGTTGGTAATGTTGGTAATGTTGGTAATGTTGGTAATGTTGGTAATGTCGGTAATGTTGGTAATGTCGGTAATGCCGGTAATGTTGGTAATGTTGGTAATGTTGGTAATGTTGGTAATGTCGGTAATGTTGGTAATGTCGGTAATGTCGGTAATGTTGGTAATGTTGGTAATGTCGGTAATGTCGGTAATGTCGGTAATGTCGGTAATGTTGGTAATGTCGGTAATGTCGGTAATGTCGGTAATGTTCGGTAATGTCGGTAATGTCGGTAATGTTGGTAATGTCGGTAATGTCGGTAATGTTGGTAATGTCGGTAATGTCGGTAATGTTGGTAATGTAATGTCGGTAATGTCGGTAATGTTGGTAATGTCGGTAATGTCGGTAATGTTGGTAATGTCGGTAATGTCGGTAATGTTGGTAATGTTGGTAATGTTGGTAATGTCGGTAATGTTGGTAATGTCGGTAATGTTGGTAATGTTGGTAATGTTGGTAATGTTGGTAATGTTGGTAATGTGGTAATGTTGGTAATGTTGGTAATGTTGGTAAATGTTGGTAATGTTGGTAATGTCGGTAATGTCGGTAATGTTGGTAATGTAATGTTGGTAATGTCGGTAATGTTGGTAATGTCGGTAATGTTGGTAATGTCGGTAATGTTCAGTAATGTCGGTAATGTTGGTAATGTCGGTAATGTTGGTAATGTGTAATGTCGGTAATGTTGGTAATGTCGGTAATGTCGGTAATGTTGGTAATGTCGGTAATGTTGGTAATGTTGGTAATGTTGGTAATGTCGGTAATGTCGGTAATGTCGGTAATGTTGGTAATGTTGGTAATGTTGGTAATGTTGGTAATGTTGGTAATGTTGGTAATGTTGGTAATGTCGGTAATGTTGGTAATGTTGGTAATGTCGGTAATGTTGGTAATGTTGGTAATGTCGGTAATGTTGGTAATGTCGGTAATGTTGGTAATGTTGGTAATGTCGGTAATGTTGGTAATGTCGGTAATGTTGGTAATGTTGGTAATGTTGG